TTCTGGCCACCAAGGATGACCACTGAGTCGAGCAGGGCCCCTTTCCGCTGGTAGCTCAGCAGGCTGCACGGCCGCTCCTGCTTGCGGTCCATTAGGACACTCTCGATCAAGGTTGCATGGGCCGAGTTGTTCTCCAAACCTGTCAGCTTATTGCTGGCAAACATGAGCGTCTTGTTGGAGACAGCATTGAGATTGATGTAGTTGAAGAACTTCTTGAAGTATTTTTCCCGTTCCTCCTTCCGGAAGTACACCCAATTGATGAGTGCACTGAGAGCCTGGTCCTCGTTGAGCACATGAAGGTTTTCATCGCGAAGCAGGCGGCCGAAGATGACAGGCGGGCAGCGCATGAAGTGCATGGAGCCTTCGGGACTGGCCCAGAAGTGGAAGTTGTCACGAATGCCAGAGTAGGCCAAGTCTGATACTTCTTTGAGCTCAAACAGCTCAGCCAGGAAGAGGTAACGCAAGCAGTTGGCACGGCGAATGGACTTAATAAGGAAGTCATTGCAGTGAATCCGGAGGCGTGGGGTGTTGAAATACTGAGCGCCCCGAAGCAATTCCTCTACATTCTGCTCTGAGATCACCACTTTGCCGCTGTAGAAGTAGTCCAGGAGCTGGTCCACCGTGCCTGGACTCAGGTAGTTGGGGTCAATGGTGATGAAGAGCTCGTCGGTGGTCTTCGTGTCATTGCTGGAGATGAGACTTTTCACCAGTGGCGAGACAGCAGCCAGCACATTGCGATGTGCGAAGAAGACATGGTGGTCCACAGTCAGGGCCATGTCCCAGTACTCTTTGCGCTTCCTCTGTTTGTTCAAGTTTTGCAGTACGAAGCTGTTGTAGTTTTTCTCTGTGAATTCCAGTTTCATGGTGCTTCTCGTTGGCTGAGATAGAGATCAGTAGCAGGTGCTGGAGGACAGACTTTTTCAGGCCTTTGGGATTTGGACGGATGGTTGTTGGCAGAGCAGCTGATCAGAGAGGAGTGGGGGGTGGGAGAGAGGGTGATGTCATAGAATGGGTGAGGTCATCATAATGCAGCCCCCTTCCCACCCCCAGGCCTTTGTCAGAGCCATGGGGCCTTTCTCTCCTCAGATGGCTCCAACCTGCAGAGGCCGTAAGGACCTGGTTCAAACCAGACTCCAGAGGAAGGTCAGGGAATGGACCCCACCTGGGGCTTTCAAGATGGATTCAAGGTTTCACCAGGAATGTCAATACTAGTTTGGGAGGGGCAGAAGGCAGCTTTGTATAGTGGAGATAATGGGAGGGGAGGAGATGGGGTTAGCACCATCTGGAAGCCTCCCGTGTCACCAGCGAAGTTAAAGTCCTGATAAGAAAGGATCTCTGGGTGTCATAGATGCAGTTGGAGGCAGAGCAGGCTGGGTGTAAGGCATTACCCCACCCTTCCAGGAAGCCAGGGCCAGCCAGTTTCCACGTTCTGATTCTTAGGTCCAACGGCCCTTTCTCTGCCAAGGTGGGCATACGTAGCCAGGACACCATTTTTATTCATAATGGAGAGGTTGGCAACACTCGCTGGAGCAGAAACGAAGAGGACGGCCAGCACCAGGAAAATGGAAGAGTTTGGAAATGTCCTGCTCCAGATTTCCAAGTATCTAGTAAAATGCTGGATAGTGCCTTGCCGGTTCTCTCCATCCAGAGTTACTTAGACAAGTTCTCTCGGGCCTCAGAATCATTTTCTGTGATATGGGAACAAAAAACTGGACAGCAGTAGGTACAGTGCTTAGCTTGTAGCAAACGTTCAAATAAAATGCCAGCTGCTGTTTTAGTCACTATTACCGCCGCTAATGGGCGCTGGTGGGAGGTTGTGGGCATCCCCCAAGCTCTCGGCGGGTTGCAGGAGCCTGCTGCGGCCGCACGGTGGGGCTACAGAGTCACCTCCTGGTTGGGAGCAGGCCGCCTGCGCGCTCCGCGGCCCCAACTGCGTAGCAAGAGGAAACCGGCCGCTGGAAGCCCTTTCCACCTGCTTTGTCGCACCTGGGGTTCCGTGGTGTGGGAGGGGCTCGGAAACGCACCCATCTGAACACAGGGGTCAAAGTCAGACAGACCCACATCTGTTCTCATGTTTCAGATGTGGAACCAAAGCCAGAGCGGGTGCATGACCGCTCAAGAAGAGCCTTGCCATTTGGGTCCTTGTAATAAAGCTGGTCAGGAGGACCTGGCTCAGATCCTGATCTGCTCTCTGGCCTCATCCTGACCACTCCCCAGACCATCTCTCTCTGGCTTTGTCATTCACCTTTTCATTCAAAACCGAGCCTTTTCTATTTGTGGGACTTGGTAATTTGAAACTTTTATTATTATTTTCTAAACAATTACTTTTCATTACTGAAGTTACTCATCTTGATGTTTGCTTTTCAGGACAGAGAAAGGCTCAGAACTTGTCTCCCCATTTGGAGGAATACTTAGGTTCCAGCCCCACCCCTGTGTGGCTCGGGAGCGGAGCGTCTCTCCCTCTGGGAGCAGGTTTTTTTTTTTTTTTTTTTTTTTTTTTCCCAACTGCAGGCTTCTCCACCTCTAGTCACCTGAGAAGCAGTGGCCACTGGCTGGAGGAAGCATCATCCTGATGCTGATCTGATGCAGATAAGGACACTTGACTCCCAGCAGCCTTCTGGCTGCCAGACCTCACTTGCTGGGACATTTTCCAGAAGCAGGAGGTCATCAGACCCCTGAGCTCCAGGACAGGAAGGAGTGCACTCACTGTGTGCATGGCAGTCTGGGAGGACCTGACAGACTTGACAGAACAGGCTTGCTCAACTCAAGTTCAGTGGTCGTGGTGCTCTGATGTAGAAAGCACGGAAAGCTCAGAATCCCTGTTCCTTGGCAGGGAGAGGCAGGAGGACCTTTGAATTTAAGGGTCAGCCTGGGCAACATGCAGAGACCTTAAAACAAAACAAAGCAGGGTATGGTGGCCCACAGATGTCTCAGCCCTCAGGAGGCTGAGGAAAGAGGATCGTAAGTTCAGGCCAGTCTGGGCAACATAATAGACCGTCTCAAAGTTAAAAATGTAAAAAGGAAAAGATGGATGGGGAACATAGCTCAGTGGGTAGAATGCTTGTCTACCATGCACAAAGCCCTGGGTTGATCCCCACATAAACTAGGTATGGTGGCCCATGCCTGGAATCCAAGCCCTCGAATGACAGAAACAGAAGATTTTGAGTTCAAGGCCACCCTCAGCTATATTGTCTTGAGTTCTGGGCCAGCCTGGACTACTTGAGACTTTAAAAAAGAAAAGAAAGAAGTATATGAGGTGGCTCTGCAGGTAAAATGCTTGCTCAGCAAGCCTGACCACCCAAATTCAATTCCTGGGGACCCACATAAAGGTGAAAGCACACAAGTAACTCCACAGAGTTGTTCTTAGTCCCCACCACCACCACACGCACGCACGCACACACGCACGCACGCACACACGCACGCACGCACACATGCCCGCACAGAGTTTTGCTCTGAGACAGTGTTTTGGCTGACCTGGAATTGAGAAAACACCTCAATTAGGTTGGCCTGTATGCAAGTCAGGAAGGTATTGCCTTGATTAGTGATTGATGTGGGAGGGCCAGCTCACTGTGGGTTGGTACCATCCTTGGGCAGGAGGTCCTGTGTGTATAAGAGAAGAGGCTGAGCAAGCCATGGACCCCAGGTTCCTTCCTGACTTTCCTCAGTGATGCACAGTTACCTGAAAGTGTAAGATGCAATGAACCCTTTCCTCCCCAAGCAGCGCTCAGTCATGGTGTTTTATCACAGTAATAAAAACCTTAAGACACAAGGTCTCTTTATGAAGCCCTGGCTGTCCTGCAACTCCATAGGTAGACCAGGCTGGCTTGGAACTCACCAAGAACTGCCTGTTTGTCTCTGCCTTTGCTGGGACTAAAAGTGTCCACCCGCACGCCTGGTTAATAAAAGTGTTCCTTTCCAGGAACACGCTGGGGCAGAACTGCCAGTTTGAGGCCAGCCTAGTCTACATAGCAAAGGCTAGGCCAGCCAGGATACTCAGTGAGACTGTCAGAAAGAGAAAGAGGAAAATGGGTGTGCCCGTGTCCATCTGTTCTGCCAGCATCACCGCCTGGCCCTTCTCCAGTCCTGGAAAGCAGCTTTTTCCTTAGCCCCAAGCAACTGTGGAAAGACTCCAGCACAGACACTGGCTTCATGCCAGCTTCCTCCACCTGGTCTGTGTATATGTATGTTGGTGTTCTTAGGAGTCACCAGGAATTCAATGGCTGTTTGCTTGGTGTGGCCAGAAAAGGGCCCCGGCCAGATCCCTTCATTCCACTCACCCTTCCTGGTCTGCTCAGAATTTTCCATATTTGGGGATTTCCTGGGGGAGGAGACCCTAATACTCTAATCTTTATAGATTGATACTATCATATTGCAAATCCTTAAGTTAGAGCATTTTCAAAGATACACTGAATTCTAAGTAGGAAGGTCAGGATAGCATCTCAGTATCTACTCTTCTCAAATTTGTCTTCAAAGCACTGTGGGGGTGGGAGGGGGCTGGCCCATAGAGCCTTAGGCTTGTAAGCCACATTTTGCCTCCTGTTTATGACAGGGTCTCATGGGGGGGGGTCTCATGGGTCTCACTAAATTCTCCAGACTGGCCTTGAACTTCTAATCCTCCTCCTTTTGTTTGCAGAGTAGCTAGCTTTTGAGGCTTGTGCCTCCAGGCCAGGCTCATCTGTCTTTACCATTAATAACTGGACTACAAATAGCTTAGGTTCACTGGGGTTCTATTTTAAACTTATACCACCCCATGTTTTCAGTTTCACCAGTAAATTCTCTCCATATGTCTAGGCTCAGATTCCTTGTCCCGGGCCTGCCTAGGGGCTGTCTGCCCTCAGATGGGGCCATCCGTTGATCTGTGAGCAGGTCACATGCTTCCAAAGTGGCTGTTTAGGCAGTGCAGTACCCTGGGGAGCGGGACTGGGGAGGTGAAGCGGTTCAAGATGGATTCAGAGTCCTGAATCATCTCAGTCATAAACTGAAAGCATTAGAGGAAGAAATTACACAAAAAGAAAGGATTTTATTGTCTCGTTAGTCAATATCCCTGGATGAATCAACAGTTTGAGACTGTTCACAGTGTAACAAAGACCCGCCAGCCTCACTCTGTCCTTAAATCAACAAGCCCTTCCTCCAGCCCTTGTGTTGGCAGAAGGAAATGCCATCATTTCAGGGACACTCTACTGGACCTCTGGCTTGGTCCCTCCCAGGGACCTGGTTAAACAGCTATTCGCAGGGAACTATGAATAGTTTGAGGCAAAACACAGAATCAAATTAGCTTTCCTAATCTCCCTGTTTGGGCCTCTTCCCTGGAGCATTTGGGCTAGTCACACATTCCAGGAGGAAGTCACAGCTCAGCTGCAACCACAGCTGCAGGGGGAAGGGGGCAAGGCTGGGTGGTCACTGCCTGCTGGGCCGGGGCAGGGCAGAGGCTGCCGGGCTTCCTCCGGCGCCCCCTAAGGAGCTCACCCTCACCCCTACACCACTGACTTCATAGTCCAAAGCCTTGGCCAAAAGCCCAGGCAATGTGAGGGTCCAGTGAGATGAGAGTGGGAGGCAGGACTGCATTCCAGACCTGCCCGCCCCCAGAAGCCAGATGTAAGGCTGTAAGCATAAAAATAAAATAAAATAAAATGCGTGAGGTGTGAAGGGTGCTAGTGGCCGTGACACTGAAAGGCTAAAACTGTAAGGCGGGTTTTTGTTTTGTTTTGCTTTTTTTAAACTTCTCCATTTGCTCTTTGGCAATCCCATCAGGGAATCCCAGAGGCTGTGGGATGATATCATGTCTTCGAACCGAGAACAAGAAATCTCACTGACTGTGAAATGGGGCTGGTCACGTCTCTCTAACGCAAGCTGCTTTATGTCACATTTAAAGGAAAGTTTAATAGTCTTCAAAAGCTACCAAAAGGAGATTATAACACAGGAAGTACATGTAAAACGACCTCACTTCTCAGCATGGCAAACATATTCGGAATACAGAGTCGGAGGAAGGATATTGGAATTAAAGATACAAAAGAAGTCTGCTTAAAAAAATAAAAGCAAAAAGATGTCAGAATTGACCATACCCAAATCTAAGTAATCGTGGTTAGGTAACCCTCTGGATAAATCCTTTAACCAGAAATGAGCTCATGCGCTGCTGCCTACAGTGTGTGGTGTGCACAAGATGCTCAAGAGTACACACACAAGTTCACACACCCACAGAGACAGGTGCTTGCTGGCTCTTTGCTGTTCTATAGGCACTCCGTATGTGTCTCTCCACCTTCTCATTACATTTGGAGAGTTACTTCTTTGGAGGTGGGACATTTTCTTCGAAGAAGCCCTGGTTGACGACATTCCCTGCAGGAAAGTACCTGGCCACCACAAAGGAGGACCCATCACTTGCGGACGCCTTCCCCACACCCATCTTCTTCGTATTCTTCCATACCATGGCTGTGAAGTGTCCTGTGGGAAACACGGGAGGAGGAACGGTGAGTCAGCTGAACCCTGAAAAGGATGCTTACGGGACCCTCAAAGCCTTGCATGCTCTCATCAGGCTCAGACAATTAGATCTCTGCAGATGCCAATCATGCAGAAGAAACAAAGCACATTGGCTGCACGTCCTGTCAATCAGCCCCACAGACCTCAGCCACGTCAACACTTTCTCAAGGTCTTTCTGAGGTCATGATAAAGCGCGGTAGTCTCAGCACCTGTGATACGGGCATCAACACTCTTGGTGCCCCAAACTGAACTCTTTATGTTTTAGATTTTTAAAATTTATTCTATGTGTATAATGTTTTGCCTGCATACATATGGTTCCCTAGGAGGTCGGAAGAGGGTGGCAGACCCCCTGGAATTTGAGTTATGAATGGTTGTGAACCACCATGTGGTTGCTGGGAACTGAACTCAGGTCTTCTGCAATAGCAATAAATGCTTTTATCTACTGAGCATCTCTCCAGACCTCTAAACTAAATTCCTTAAACATCTCTATTTTCTGATTTTTTTTTTTTAATCTGTGTCTAAGTTGACCTCCCAGGATCTGTCCCTTCTTTTCAAAGCATTCTCCCTCACTGAGTTCCATGACCACGAGTCTCGTAGCATCCCTCCTGTCCCCATCTCGGTCTTGCAGCCTCTTCATCATCAATCCAGGCGCCCTCTCCCTTTCTTTCTACACCGTCCTTTAGGCAATTTCATCTTTCCCTGGCTCCCAGATGGATTTCTCCAGTTTAATTCGACACTGTCTGTTCCAGACACAATCACCACACACTTCCACTTGGATGACTCACAGATGCAATCTCTCTGGGTCTCACTTTCGATTTTGGTCCCTCAGACTTACTCCTCCACTGACCTCCACAGCCTCACTGTGCACTACCCGGGGGATGAGCCTACATTCTTTCCTCTCTTGGATACTCCTCACAACAACCAACCTCTAGTTCCTGAGGAATTTAACTCTAAAATCTAGCTCAGTATATTCTTCCAAAACCTTGGTTTAATTCATAGCTTTCTCTCCTGGAATGATGTAACATCTGGCTGTTCTTGGCTCCACTTGGGTCCTCCCTAATTCATTTGTCACTATGAGAATGGGAAATGTCACTGAGAATGAACGGGAAGATGGGAAGATACTGAATTAGCATTCTGAGACATAAGTCTTATCTATTTAACTTCCTCAAGTCAAAATCTTATATTGCTAGTTGCTCCTACAATGAAAGCTAATACTTAGGCCTGGTGGCCTCCTTCCATCTCCTGAGCACAGCAAGCTGCTTTCTATTGAAACCCCTGTGGGAATGAACCCTTGCTCAAATCATCCTAACTGTGGATCTTTTTTTTTTTTTTTTTTTTTTTTTTTTTTTTTTCAGTACTGAGGATTGTACATACCAGCAAGTATTCTACCCCTGTAGACTCCCAGCCCTTGGGAGCTCTTCTGCTGACTAACAGTTTCTTGTCCCTTAGGCCTCTGACTAAATGTCATTTGTTTAAACAAGCCTTACACAACCATCCCTTCTCTCACCAAACATCTCCCTCTCTACCCTGACCACACCCCATCTTTCCCCTTCTCCATCCCTACCAGCTCCTTTGCCCACTACATGGCAAAGAACAGTTTTTTTTTTTTTTTTGTCTTTCTCATAGAGTTGGAGTTTATTAAAGATATTCTAAATTATGCTTAGACACGAAGGTTAAGTGGAAAGGGGAGGTGCCTAAAAGAAAAAGTCATAGAAAGGAAGACAGACATACCTAAGTATGGGCATGGCTCTCCATGGGAGCCACAGTTCATTGAATATGGCTGGTATTTAAAAAGAGATGGCGAGAAAGGAGACATCATGCTCTTAGAGTTAGGAAAGTGGACAGGCTTAGCAGTGAAAATGCCAGCAACTGCCAATGTCTCCTCTCCTTTTTATTAAGACAGGGTCTCTGTGTCTCAGGGAACCCTCATAGTCACTATGTAGGCAAGAATGGCCTTGAGCTTCTGATCATTCAGCTTTACCTCTCATGTTATATAGCGTGTGTCAGCACACCAGCTGCGGAATCAAACCCATTTACCTCCTGTGTGTTACACAGGCTCTCCTACCACCACATGCAACTTATGCAGCACTGGGGATCGAACCCAGGGCCTCAAGCATTCCAGGAACGCACTCTGCCAACTAAGCTATATTCTTGCCCACTTGCTGCGGGACAATCTTTGTGCACGGTGAATATGTCTTACTCTCATTGGTTAATAAAGAGCTGACTGGCCAGTAGCTGGACAGGATAAGGGAAGGTGTACGAGTCAAACTGAGAATGCTGGGAAGGAGAGGGGCAGACCTGGGTGTGGTGAGCAGATGGAGAGAAGCAATGGACATGCTGTAATAAGAAAAGGTACCAAGCCATGTGGCAAAGTACAGACAAGAAATGTTGTTTAATTTCAGTGTAAGAGTTAGCTAATAACAAGCCTGAGCTGTCGGGCAAGCATTTTATATTTGTCACCAGGCCTGGTGGCATATACATTCAATTCCAACACTCAGGAGGCAGAGGCAGATGCATCTCTGAGTTTGAGGCCAGCCTGCTGGTCTACAGAGTGAGTTCCAGGACAGCCAGAGCTAAACAGAGAAACCCTGTCTTGAGAAACAAAAGCAAAAACAAAACAAAGATTCCATTTGTCTGAAAGTGTAAGTGTGTGGCGGGGGGTGGGGGGCGTGGGGGGGGGAGTCACAAGCATGCCTTGGAACACATGTGAAGGTTGGAGAACAACTTTTGGAGTCAGTTTTCTCCTACCTAAACCCAGGTTGTCATCTTAGTGGCAAATAACTCTGAGCCATCTCACCGGCCCAACATTTTTAAATCTTAAAGCTCCAGCACTTAGGAGGCAGAGCCAGGAAGATCACGAGCCCCAGGTCAACCTGGATGGAGTGTGTGTCAAATCCAAGCTTTCTTAAGCCATTCAAAGAAATCCAAGAAAAACTGCCTAGGAAGGATCCTTTACTCATCTTTAAACCTGTATCAACCTCAGCTCTATAAACGTTGGTCTTGAGCTCTGAACAGCCTTCTGGCCTGGTCACCCTTGGTTATTCCGTTGTGGATCACAACTCCAGGCGCTGGATAGCCTTGCCAGGCATTTCTGCTGCCCTGACTGCCTCTTGGCCAGGGCTCAAGCCCTTTCTCCCACAGGCTTCTCTAAACTGACCACAGGCCTTGGCCATTGACCATCTTTCTCTCTGTTTCCCAGAGAAGGGGGAAACTTCCATCATCCACTGGTTGCTAAGCAATTGGCAGGACAGAAAGTGTGCATCAGTGGCTGGATGCCCGTGGCAGCTGCTTCTCAAGGGAGAACCCTGCACAATCTTCTCTGTGGAGGTTTCCGTTTGCACAGATAATCCTGTTATGGTATTTAGAGATGAATTAAGGGACACAACTTCCTTAGCAACATCAGATACATACTGGTTTCTAACACTAACTTCCAACAACACTTCCTTTTTCTTTTCTTCTTTGTCTCCACCCCTTAAAGGGCTTACATCCTCTTTCTGGCTGAGGACCAAAACTCCTCAGAATATGCCTTTGAAAACCACACTGAACCTATTACAGTATATCCTTGCAAAGAAATAATGTACAGAGATAAGAAAGAACGAGGGAACTCTTTTACTGATCTGAAAGACTTTCTGACAGCTCTAAAGTGGGTGCACACACACAACTCAGGATAACACACAAGAAACCAGAGGTGTCAGATTAGTACTCATTCAGAATAAATAAATCTACTCCAACGGGAAGGAACAAAGTAACTATAAGGAATGTTTTTTCCATGCAGCACACAGCTTTACCATGGAAGGCTGGCTGCGGGAGGGGCTGTCAGATTATAAGGTGTTTCACAGGCCTTTCATCTATATGAACTCAGGTCAAGGAGCCCCAAAACACTGCTGTGAGAAGCTAGGAACTGAGGGACTCAGGCAGGACGGGCCTGACAGTCCTCAAGATTCTGGAAGCCTCAGTTCTATGACACCACACAAAGCCCCATTGGTGTCTAAGGCTCCAGGGCCATCTGTCCCCAGCATTACACAGGGACCCTCTCTTGGTGTGGGGGCCATGGAAGAAGCACCAGGTGAGAAGACGCGAGGAAACCCTTCCTCTCTGTAGGTCTGGTCTTTGCTAAAAAAGCATAGTAAGGCCCTGCTTTGGAGGCTGCTGGAGCTGTGGATATGATCACCTGGTAGGCGTTAAGCAGTGCCAGGAGTAGCTCCAACATCTAGCATGTGTCTGGTTGCTCAAGAACCTCACCATGGGGAAAGCAAGTTATCAAATAGAAGTCTCTGGACACTGTTTTTTTTTTTTTTTTTTTTTTTTTTTTGTTTTGTTTTTTTTTTGAGACAGGATTTCTCTGTGTTGCTTTGGAGCCTGTCCTGGCTGGCCTTGAACTCACAAAGATTCACCTGCCTCTGCCTCCTGAGTGCTGGGAGTAAAGGCCTATGCCACCACTGTCTGTATTAAAGGAGACAAGGCTCTGCCTACACATCCTTAATCACTGCTCCTTTCCCCTCATTCAGTGGCAAGGTCATTGTCATCCGAAGCTCTGGCCCGTTTCCTGTGCCTCAGCCTGGCAACCTTAGGTGTGGGGGGTGGGACTAACTGAATGAAATCTCAGGTCTGCACCTAGAGTTATAAGAGCCCTTCCTGGACAGGGTGAGCAGTAAGCCTCAGGAAACAGTGAGACCATGTCATTTCCTGCTTCTGAAGATCTGCAGGGGATGGGGATGGGCAGGAGTAGGGGTGAGGGGTGGGGAGGGAACCCCCTCTTTCAGTTTCTCTGGTGCTTTGGATCAGATACACACTCCTTCCCACCGTGTCCCGGGCTCAGGAGGGTCTGAGTCATTTCTTAAGAAAGACAAGGGGGAGGGGGCAGAGGGACCTTAGAGGCCATAAACGCTGCCAGACTTTAATAAGGTACATGTTTGCTGCTCAGGGTTGGAGAAATGGCTCATCTTTAGCACTGGTGCAGAAGCTTGCCTGGCAACTGTAGCCCAGTGAGGGTGGGGTGGGGCCTCACTGGCTGGCCGGTCCAATTGCTGAGTTTCAGAGTCAGTGAGAAACCCAACCTTAAAAACAAGGTGGAGATCAACCGAGGAAGACATGAGACATCAGCCTTCACACACACACACACACACACACACACACACACACACACACACACACACACTCACACTCTCACACACACACTCACTCACACTCACACACTCACACACTCACTCACACACTCACTCACACTCACACACACTCACACACTCACTGCTCCCCCTAGAAAAGGCCTATTAGAAAGGTGGTCTCCTCCGCTTCTGCATTACCAACTCTCAGAAGCGCCTGGACGGCCACCATCATGTCCTGGAATAGGGAAAAAAGAACTGACTCAAGTTCACACCACAAACGGCAGAGCTAGGAAGAACCTGAGTTCATTTGACCCACAGCCTAGAACGCAAGAGGAAGGGAAATCCCCCAGTGCCCTGAGGTGTGGAGAATGAGCAGGAAGAGGAGGGATGTGGGAGGTAAGGGCTGGCCTGACTTTCCTGACTGCCTCCAGGGAGCCCCAGCAATGCAACTGGGAGAGCAGCTGAAGCAGAAGAAACAGCAGAGGCAGGATGACCAAGTAGTCAGTCAGACATGCTCAGATGCCAGTTCAAGAAAGAAGCACCCAGCTAAAATCCAGGCTCCGGAGAACACGCTGCAGTGAGGACACGCTGCAGTGAGGAGAACATGCTGCAGTGACAGCATGCTGCAGTGAGAGCATGCTGCAGTGAGAACACGCTGCAGTGAGGAGAACACGCTGCAGTGAGGAGAACATGCTGCAGTGAGGACACGCCACAGTGAGGAGAACATGCTGCAGTGAGGACACGCCACAGTGAGGAGAACATGCTGCAGTGAGGAGAACACGCTGCAGTGAGGAGAACACGCTGCAGTGAGGAGAACATGCTGCAGTGAGGAGAACATGCTGCAGTGAGGAGAACACGCTGCAGTGAGGACACGCTGCAGTGAGAACACGCTGCAGTGAGGAGAACACACCACAGTGAGGAGAACACGCTGCAGTGAGGAGAACATGCTGCAGTGAGGAGAACACGCTGCAGTGAGGAGAACACGCTGCAGTGAGAGCATGCTGCAGTGAGGAGAACATGCTGCAGTGAGGAGAACACGCTGCAGTGAGGAGAACACGCTGCAGTGAGAGCATGCTGCAGTGAGGAGAACACGCTGCAGTGAGGAGGACACGCTGCAGTGAGGAGAACACGCTGCAGTGAGGAGAACACGCTGCAGTGAGGAGGACACGCTGCAGTGAGAGCATGCTGCAGTGAGGAGAACACACCACAGTGAGGAGAACACGCTGCAGTGAGAGCATGCTGCAGTGAGGACACACTGCAGTGAGAGCATGCTGCAGTGAGAGCATGCTGCAGTGAGAACACGCTGCAGTGAGGAGAACACGCTGCAGTGAGGAGAACACGCTGCAGTGAGGAGAACATGCTGCAGTGACAGCATGCTGCAGTGAGGACACGCTGCAATGAGGACACGCTGCAGTGAGAACACGCTGCAGTGAGGAGAACACACCACAGTGAGGAGAACACGCTGCAGTGAGGACACACCACAGTGAGAACATGCTGCAGTGAGGAGAACACGCTGCAGTGAGGAGAACACGCTGCAGTGAGGAGGACACGCTGCAGGAACACACTGAACTTTGAGCTGGCTGGGGGTGTGGTGTGGGGACCAGCACCCTGGGTACCCTCAGATCTAGAAAGGTACAGGTCTGGGATGATGGTGGGGTGGGGTGAGGTGGGCAGGTGCTGGGCAAAGGAAGTTTGGGTTTTTGGACAGTTAAACCAGAGAGGTATGGCTGACACAATGCAGGAGGCAAAGAGTGAACCTTCTGAAGATGCAGTTTAACCCAGGCCCTGCTGCCACTCACCTGTCCCCGAGGTGAAACCAGGCTGCTGGAAGTTGTAGTTCTTGATTTCACTGTACCACCGATCAGCCACTTCCTTTCCTGCACAGAGAAGACTTGTGTGAACTCAGCCATCAAGTCCACACACTCCCTCCATCTTCTCCCACAGACACCAAACCACCCACCCATTCTACACCCAGGTATCTGATGAAGCCCCCAATGAATTAAAGCATCAGGGTTACTCCCTGCAGACTCCTGGGGACTCAGGATGAAGACAGAGCCTTCGTTGGGATGAGCACTGGCTTGGGGTCAAGCAATGGACCCCAGATGAGGTAACCTACATCCTGCCACCAAACTGCTGTGGAATTCTGGACAAAGCCTTTTCTGCTCTGGGCCTCTACAATAAAAAGGTTGAACACTGCATCCTGAGGGCCTTCTAGAGATGGTCTGAATTTCTGGGAGGCTGTCCTCATCCAACTCACAGGAAGAAAGGCAGCTGAGCCAGTAGGCCAAAGGTTGTCACTACTGCTAGAAAGGCCCTCATCTTGATCATTCATTGTCAACAATGGAGAATGCAGAAGCCATTTCCCTGAAATCTGTTGATCTCAGAGCCACAGCTCCAACTCAGGACATAGGATTCAAGATGAGTCACCCTAGGACCTTATTACAATCTAGGGTCTGATTAAAGTAGGTTCTAGGACCTGTGATTCTTTATTTCTCCCAGGTTGCCTACTATTGCTGCTGGTTCATGACGTACATATCAGCTACACCTGGGGACCATTTAAAGCGTGCTGAGGCCCAGGGGTTGGAAGAACTTAAAAGCATTCCAAAGACATCAACCCAAAGCTCTGTGCATGAAGGGGAAAACTAGGGCCAGAGAGAGTAGTGAGTTATCTCAGTGCCCAGGGATCCAACACAAGGCCAGGCTAGAGCAACATCCTTAAGGCCCAGTCAAGACTCCTTCTCCCAGCCAGGAGAGGCCACAGCCTTGACCCAGGGTCTGCGGGCTGCAGAAGAGGCCCAGAGGACCCGCCATCACCTGCCTGCCAGGTGTATAATAGCTCTTGGGGCCAGGGTGGCAGATAGAGAGGGGTGGGGCTGGTGTACTAGGGAAACCAAGCAGCCTTGGGGATCCCCTCGGGAGCTCTGGGAAATATGGGGGGGGGGCAGGGGAGCCATTCCCTCCTGGTGTTTGGAGAAAGCTCCAAAGGTTGTGACATCTCTCACTGTTTCCCTAAAACGGTTATCTGAGCCAGAGACTCAAGAATGTTTGCTCAGTGGGGTGGGGTCATTCTCTCCCAGGCCCTTGAAAATTCTTTTCCTTCCTTCCTTCCTTCCTTCTTTCCTTAAGAGGAAAATTTCCAATTATTTTCTTCTTTCTGATGATAACAGCAATACACCTGCAGTGTAATAATTTAGAAAAAAGCAAGCATGCCCAGTGTCCACAGAACCAGGCTGAAACTGAACCTATGCTGCAGTCTCCAGCACCCACACTGCTGGACTTCTGCTCCCGAGCTGTCTAGTCTGACTCATCTGTTCCAGGCTCCCAGCTTCCTGGCTCTGGGCCAGCTACTGAGGTCAGCCCAAGAACAGATGCCGAGAATTCAGGGGGTTCCTCTCCCTTCCTGGGCCTGTGGCCACACCATCACTGAGCCACGAAGGGCATGATGTTAAAAGGAGTCTGCAGACCTCATCCTAGGTCCAGCTGGGCAGAGAGGAGAGAAGCCAAGAGTGTCCTACCTGTCTGGTCGTAGGATGCCCATGCAAGGTTCTCCCCACACTGGCCACGACTGGACTCTGGGCTGTGCTTGAGGATCCTTGTACTGGCCAGGGCCTGTGAATACCTGCATAACATGTCTCCTCAGAGCAGGCTCAACCTAGGGACTCTCCACCCTGACCCAGTGTCTGAGCTTTGATTTAGTATGGTTGAGCTGCCTTCCCTGTCTGGGCTCACCAGATGGACAGCAGGGAAACATCGTTCTGTGCCTAGGCCTCCCAACAATCTCATTTTCAGAAAATCTCACTGAATGAAGCTCAGGAGCAAAGGGAACCTGCCTGGGCTGGCAGCAGAGTGGTCCTTAAGCCTGGCTGTATCTGAACCCCAACCAGATCCCTTCATCCACCCAGGACCCCTCTGTGAGGATTCAGGCATTACGCTGGCCTGCCCCTGTCACCTGGCAGAATGCACTCAGGCAGTACCTTGGTCAGCCCAGGGTTCCATGACTACTAGTCTGCACGCAGGTGCTAAGGACCCTTTAAAAGAAAGACCCCTGCCCACTTATACTCTCTTTTCCCTCTCTTTCCCGCTGTTCCCCCGGGGGCAGACAGGGCTTTTCCTGTCTCCCTCTTCTCTTCTGTCCTCTCTTTGTCTCTGTGTCTCTTCACCTCTTTCCCCCTTCCTTCTCCCTCCCTCCCCCCAATAAAACTTCTCACTGTCTGCCAGGCATGTTTGTCCTCCTCCTCGCCTGCCACCCTCCATGCTACAGAAGCAGCTCCACAAGGGCTAGCGCCGGATGGGTGCTAAGGACTCACTGCTGGGCTTCTTGGTTGAGCTTCTTGCAAAGCTTGAGTGGGGGGACTCCGTGCTGAGCCCGGTACTCGTTGTGGGCCTTCAGGACCTCGTTATTAAACTGTTTGGAAGCTAGACAGAAGAATGGAGAACAGCTCAGTACAGAGGGAAGACCCACCAAACGAATATTGGCATGCTTCAGGACACGCAGAGACGCTGGCCTCTCTCCATCCTGGCTGCTCAGCCCTGTTCCACACCAATATTCATCTGTCTCCATCACCACGATCACCACCCCCCTCCCCATGCCTCTGCAGATCAGAGCTCTGGTAGGTTATGTAGGGTCTTCTGGGCCATGTTGGGGATTTGAATCTTTATCTGAGGCAATGGGAGACTATTAAGCAGAAGTGGAGAAGTAGAGTGATTCTGAAAGATGCTATTGGCTGCTGAGTGGTGCTGAGGATGGTCTAGAGTTGGTCAGACATCTTTAAAGGTGACTGAACACCTCAGACCAGACCAATGGAGTCTGGGAAGGGCTGGAGCTGGGAGCTCAGGGAAGAATAGCTTAGCTAGGGTGGATAGTACCATATTGAACCAATGAAACATAGGAGGAAGGGAAGGAAGAAGGGAAGGGAGGGAGGGAGGGAAGAAGGGGGAGACATACACACATGGAGAGAGGGGGGGAGAGAGAATCAAATAAAGCCAGATAGAGAGGGCCAAATAAAGCATCATTGAGGTATGGAGTAAGAGGAGAGTTTTGACGATGACTCCTTGGTGATGAGAAAGGGGGGGGGTGTGGTCATCTGGGTGAGGCTGTGTCGAGGAAAGGGCCTGTACCCAACTGAATGATGAATTCAGCAAAGACAAGACCAGAGGGGCTGGGGTTAGGGAAACTGGGTATGAAGAGCAGGAAGATCAAGAGTGGACAAAACCCACACTGCTTCAGATCTGAAACAACCCCATCATTCCAGCACCTTTCTCTAGTCAGTGCTTATCCCAAACCATCCATCAGTCCTTCCGACCAACCACCACACACCAAACATCATCTGCTTTCCATCTGTATCCAGCATCATGCGTCCATCCATTTCTCTATTCCCAGCACATACCCACCCACCGATTCATCATTTGTTGAGCGTCCACATCCACCCACCCGATTCGTTCCTACTCTACCTGTCTGCTCCCTGAGCCCTGTCCCACACGACGCCGAATCCTGGCCTCAAAAGCTCACACAGAGAGGGGGATGGTCTTGTAGGCAGAGAACAGTAATGGTGCAAGGGGAGCCTGGAGCAAGGGGCCAGGGTAAGATCATACACCTTAGGAATCCAGGAGTCCACCCCTCTGTGTAGACATGGAGTGCTGGGAGGGCTGGGAGTGAGCATAGACCCAGCTGCCAGCTGCCTGTGCTGTGGTGGTTGGAAGGGTGTAACCACAGCCATGAAGGAAGTGCTCAGGGCTAACTACAGGCAGGAGGGAGGAAGAAATGCAACTCATGGTTGGTGACCGCGATGTCCTAGGACTTTCTGACAAATTACCGAGGAAGCAGACTGCCCTTGGGGGCTGTAGAACCAGCACAGCATAGGAGATCAAGTCCCAGGGACACATGGTGAGGCAGGGCTGGAAGGTTTGGGAGTAACAGATGGGAGTTGTGAACAGAGGTAAAAGTGGTAATCATGACTCTTGAGGCGGAGGGTGGAGCCACAACCAGAAATGCTCAAGTCCTGGCAGCCAGAGATGGTCCACACCCTTGTGACAGACTTCAGGTCTCCTGAGGTGGGAGGAAACAGGTGGTGTTGAAGGGTAGCATTTTCGAGGTAGAAGACCCTGCAGCAACTTCACAGCTGTGTGACCCCACCTGACAGTAGAAGGGCACATCACAAAAGGAACCTCTCAAGGTGGCACTGGGGTTTGGCATGCTGATGTGCAACTGGGGACATCAAATCATAGTCTTCCAAAAGACCATGGAGGGGGCCAGGGGATAACGGAACAAGAGCAACTCTTGGACTCAAGTCATAAGTCTGGTCTTTTTTTAGTGAGCTAAAGAGCCAGCAGGATAGTGTGGTAAGCAGAACCATAGGCTCCTGGGCCATGGGAGCTGCACCCTGCCTTGCACACCCTGGGTTCTTTATCCTGGAGATCAGACTGAAAGAATGGAGAGGGGAGTGCTCTGGGGAATTCTGGAATCCGATTTGGCAAAGCTGGAGCTGGCAGGTACAAAGGGCAGGATGACAGATTTCAGCCAGGAACAAGAAGGTCCTTTCTCCCAGGCAAAATGTTCCTAAGCTTCAAGGGAACAAGCCTGACTCTGGGAACCTTGACAATTGAGGGTCCACCCTGTTCTCAGTACTCCAAGATAAGTAACAGTGGAAAGCAGAGAAAGGTGACCATGTGGCCACACAGAGAAGAGGAAAAAAGATTCAGTGACCCCTGTGTCCACCTTGGGAGCCCTGACACAAGGTCTGGGTTTAAATGGTATGCAAGTTGTGAACAAGGAAGTTGTTCGCTTGAGGTTGCCCTCCCCACCCAGGCAAGCCCTCTTTCAAGCATCAGTGGAAGCCAAGTCCCTCCCCATGGCTGGCACTGGGGTAGCCCCCTTTTCTTTCCTCTAGCATGAGAGCATTACAATTCCTTGAGTCCATGGTCCCAATAATTTGATATCTGGAGTCAGCATCTCTCTTAAGAAATACATGCTTCTGCCAGGAGATTCGACGGGGCTTCCCCTGCAGAAGGCAGCAGGCTGTCTACCACTAGGGCCATGCTAGTTAGTTTCCATTCCTTGTAGGATCCCATCAGGTGTGGGTGACAGAGATGAGGACCTGATCTATGACTTCCAGGAGTTTCCCGCCCTTCAGTAAATAGACAGGGTAATAAAACAAGGGCTTGTACGAGCTACATGGTCACAGTAAGGAAGGTCCCCATCTGTGTGATAGGCATAGCTAGAGCGATCCTAAACATCTAGTGCCCACGTCTCAGACAGGCCAGGGAAGGTCTGGTGAGACACCATGAGAGACACTTGAGACTCAGTGACATGTACAGTGCCACAAGAGCTCCCTGGAAAAGGTGTTCCAGGTTCAGGGAGCAGGAGGAGGCCAAGGGTGCAGAAGGGGCCAGGCTATTACTGGACTGGGAGAAAGGGAGCCAATTTAAAGTAGTTTGAGTGTTGGGGTCAGTCTGCACTGGACCCCATTGTGCTGTAGGCCCCACAGGCTCCTGCAGAGGCATATATGGCTTCTAAAAACTAGGCCACTGACTCCCAGGATGGGGGCAGTTCCAGGAACAAAAGTGAAAGTTCCTGAACCAACACAAGATCAGTGCCAGAAGCTGACGCTGGGCACAGGCTCTGGCGGGGCCAGGCTCGGTCAGCCAGCGCCTCTGAAAGGGGTGGGCCATCAGGTCTCAACAGAGGGCTCTCTTGCTTCCCTTAGCTGGGAAGCCGGGGGGCCCTCCAGCCACTTGGGGCTGTCTTGGGGGTCCCTCCCACTCTGAGCAGGACAAGAGCCGAAGGATGCAAGTTATCAATGGTGACCACACCCAGTCGGAGGCACACCCTACTTCTATAGCAAAACCCAAGAACACAGATAAAGTCAAAGTAAAACCAGCCACCCACAGTCAGGCAGGGTGGCCCCTCAGCTGTTCCACGATGGGGGAAGGGGCAAGATCTACACTTCATTTTGCTGAGGAGCCAGAATGAGGGACTGGCAGACCCATCTGCCCTGGGCTCATGCTTTCTCTTGCTTGTCTCCCACTGGACCATGGATGCAAACACCTCTTGGGGCATCCTTACTCTACCCATCTTCATGACTAGATTAGGGGGAAAAAAAAGAGAAAGAAAATAGGAAAGGTGCGCTCCAGGAGAAGCAACCTGCCCAAAGTTTGCTTGCTGGTCCAAGAGTACCATCACCATCACTGGGGTGAGGGGGTGGGGTGGGGGTGGGGATCCAGACTTAAAGCAAGGCCCTGTTCTACGTAACCCATTGGCCACCAAATAGAACAGTAGAGATGTCTAGGTGACACTCAGGCTTGGGGGCGGGGAGGAGAGCTAAAGTGAGCAATAGGGGGAAGGAGGCCACATGGGCAGCTGCCTCTGATCTCTTACAGGAGAGAAGAGGAAGGAATGGAGAAACAACTACATTTCTCAAGAGCCTCCTCAGAGCTGGGGCTGCAGGAGACTGCAGAGGCTGCCTAGAGCAGAGGGGACAGCTGGGTAGCAGTCTGTGCGATCGCAAGGCTGAGCATTCTAGGCGGGGCTATACCACATCCTTTATGATCTCTTAGGGGACTGAGAGTAAGGAATGCTGAGATCTGTCCTTAGCCCCCACACCGCTGCTTCTGCAGGCAGGCTCTTCCTCAGCAACCCCCTCCCTGAGGCCTCATCTTCCTGTACCACTGCCCTCTCCAGACCCCCAATAAAAGATGCGAACAAGCCCCTCCATCCTCTTGACAAGAGGTTGGAAAGCAAATTGCTCTAGCCTTTGGGACAAAACTGGTTTCATATCTTTAGGAAAAGTAGGAAGCAGATAATTGGAGGGAAAATAATTTTTTTTTTTTCAAGATAGGATTTCTCTGTGTAGCCCTGGCTGTTGTAGAATTCACCCTGTAGATCACAATGGCCTTGAACTCACAGAGATTTGCCTGCTTCTGCCTCCCAAGTGCTGACGCTAAAGGTGTGAGCCACCACCACCCCCACCACCAAGTGAGTGAATGAACAAATGAATCAGGTATTCACACCAAGTTCAGAGCTAGCACTAGGACTAGACCTCTGCTTCAGATGGAGAAATCAGCATCTGGGACAGTAAACGAATGGGCTCAGGTTACCCAGACCCAGTGGGCCCTGGTTAAAGCCAGACCTCCCCCTTTCCCAATGGCAAGAATAGGTTACCCTGGGTTGTTTAGTTGCCTGTGGGCAAGGAATCCGTTTCTTGGAGCAGGCCTATTTGAAAGGTGCATGGTACACCATGGTCCCTGGATGACTGGAGCTGCCAGGTGGGAGAGTGCTCGCTCAGGCTGCTCAAGTGCTCGCCCTGGCCAACACAAAGATCTGCCTAGAGACAACTTTCTGTTCCCTGGGCCCCAGGCTCCCCTCTGAGTACAGAAGATGACAGCTGCAGGCTTCGAGATATCCCCAAAGCAGGAAACCC